AAAAAAATGGCTTGCTGTATCCTTGTTTTACAAAGTCCTGACCCTACAATCAATGACTAGCTCATGCAATGAATCTGTATGGACTTTTTTTTTTTTTTGAGACCGTCTCACTATGTCGTTCTCGGTAGAGTGCTGTGGCATCACAGTTCATAGCAACCTCAAACTCTTAGGCTTAAATGATTCTCTCACTTCAGTCTCCCAAGTAGCTGGGACTACAGGTGCCCACCCACAAGGCCCTGCTATTTTTTTTGTTGTTGTAGTTGTCGTTGTTTAGCAGGCCTGGGCCAGGTTTGAACCTGCCAGCCTTGGGTGTATGTGGCCGGCGCCCTAACCACTGAGTACGGGCGCTGAGCCATCTGAATTTTTGTAAGCCAATGTGCCCCAAGTACTACAGAATAGGAGAGACCTTGACTATTTGAGCTAATGATTTAAAGCAGTGTAGACCCATGCAGATTCTGCAGTAACTGTGGCATGTACCTGAGAACCCGCCTTTCTAAGCAACACCAGGTACTGGCCGTGTCGCTGGTCAGTGGCCCACACTTAAGCAGGGAGGGTTCCTGCAGCCCAGTGGACATAGCATGGGCAAGCATGGAAGCTACAATCTGGGATCAGAACTGCTGAGTCCCAAGTGTGTGTCTAGATGGGCTCAGTCATCCTTCCTGTCTGACAGATGACAAGGATAGGCACACTGCCCAGGCAGCTGGCCTTGGGTAGCCTGGTTCAGACCTATCCTGTAACAACTAAAGGGGGTGGAGTGCAGGGATTTTTGTTGCTTAAAACCACTTCCATTTTTGCCTTAGGATTAATCGGATCCCCAAAGTGATATCATTCATTCACTTGTTCTAAACGTTTCTTATTTCTAACCTCAGATATGATGATGTTCTAATGATAAGTGTAGCAAGACTTGGGATAACAAACCACATTAATTTACTATAATGTGATGGCTACTAAATGACAAGCACAGTGCAGGGATTTAATCACTGCAGTCTTAGTAAGAGACTGGTCAAATTTTAGGAAAAGTCTTATTTTTATAGTCACTGTGTCCTAAAAGGAAAGAAAGAAGGTGTGGCAAATAGAAATTCTTAATTTGCTAATTAGAAAAAATATTTACTAACATTTCTGGCTCTGGCTCGGCAGGAAGGCAGATAAAATAATGCAAAGTTGAGAGTGATTTTCTCATCTATAAAAGAGAGGTCTAGACCAAGGTTCTATGTGTAAGATCCAACATAGATTATAAACAAAAATTGGTTGGCTCCGCACCTGTAGCTCAGCAGCTAGGATGCCAGCCACATACACCAGAGCTGGTTCGAATCCAGCCTGGGCCTGCCAAACAATAATGACAACTACAACCTAAAAAAAAAAAAAATAGCCGGGCATTGTGGCGGGTGCCCGTAGTCCTAGCTACTTGGGAGGCTGAAGTAAGAGAATCACTGAAGCCCAAGAGTTTGAGGTTGCTTTGAGCTGTGATGCCATGGCACTCCACCGAGGGTGGCAGCTTGAGACTCTACCTCAAATAAAAAAACAAACAAACAAACAAATGGTGAAGGCATTAAGTGAGATGCAGCCTGAAGCTCAGGGGAGGCAGAAACTGGAATTACTACCACTCACCACTGCCACCCTGCCCTCTGGCAGGCAGGAAATCTCAGTGACTGAAGTGCTTCCATCCTAAGTTTGTATTATAATTACTTAGTAAATAGCAAGGAGGGCACAGGAAGGGAAGGTGACCTTCACATAGCCCAGATGACTCACCGCTGTGTAACTCTGCTCAGCATCCAAGTACTTCTTATACTCGTGGTTGAGTTTATCAAACACAGTGGCTATCACAGGCAGCGTTGCTCTGTCTGCCTCACTTAACACTGGAAAGGACACAACAACCACTCAGATCAGACCAACTTCATGTTGTTTTCAGAATGTCGACAAGTTGCTATGATAATAATGACTAGTCTCGGGGTTACCAACACAAACGCACCTTTACCAGGCATGCAAAGAAATGGTGAGTTTTAAGACCTGACCCCCAGAAATCATTCACACCCC